GTGTGGTCGCCGTTACTTCGGCATAGGTCATCCCTTGTCGATTTCGAGCATTCACCGTTCGACGTTTAGCCTTATCTCCAATAACAAATGAATCAACTACCGCCTGAAACACCCGCGAGATCGATGCCCATCCTTCTCCATTCGTGCCTTCCGGCACCATCACAACTCCCTTTCGATGCCTATCCCCATACTGTGCTATCGTCAAGTACCTTCCACGACTGTTAGCACAACGTTGTGCCAAGAAAGCTCTTAATGACTCATTGAACTTCGAGACGAAGTCCTCCAACCTACTAGTCACCCTCAACTTGTCTACCATCTTCACCATCCAAAGTGCGCCGAATCTTCCCATCCATATTACATTAGATAACTTCGAGCCCCACTCAATCATCCTAACATCACCGTGATTGTTAACAGAAACTGCAAACTCCTTCGCCTCCACTCGAAAACGATAATTAAATACCATGTCGTCTCCATCCATTAACTTTCTCCCCCGATTGTGTATAAATGGTACATTTGACAATGGAATAGGCATCGTGGGTGGTCTGGGAGCATTCTGCAGAATTTCTACATTTTCTGGTGGTGGCGCGTGGGGGACACATGCCGGCAGATGCGCCATTCCGGCGGCGCGTGCATCTCGCCGCCATGCATCTCTGACTGGAATCGCCTGCACAGCCCGCCAGTCAGGCACGTTTGCCTGGGAAAGGGCTGGAACCGGCCGAATCTGAGATAGGACAGTGATTCTTCCACCAGTTTCGCCGTCTCCCATGGCGCCCGTGCCATCCCAGGTAGTCTCGTCGCCAGTCCGATTGACTGTTAGAGCGGCAGTACTAGGGTAACCACCTAGGGCCGCCACCTGAGTGTGCGGCTTTAATATTGGCGTGAGGATAAATTTTTATAATTTAATAAAAAAATAGATATTTTTGACAAAAAAAATGAATAGAAAAAAGAAAAAAAAGTTATAAGAATCCAATTTAATTTTTCAAAGAAAATAGAGAGAGAAAAATAAATGGAATTTAAATCAATAAAAAATAAATTTTAATTATACATGTCCATAAAAGATTAAAGGAAAGAAAGCCTCCCAAAATCTCATGATTAATGAGAAACAAATTTTAAGATATTATATGAGTACTTTCTGCTTAAAAGTTAGTACTCCAGAGACTTTTATAAAAATCTCTAAAAGTTATTAAAATTTGAATACCCTCAGACTTATATAGAGACTTCTAAAAAGTTTTAATTGAATACACCGTAACTTTTAGAGACTTTTTAAAAGTCTATAAAAGTCTTAATTGAATATACTATGACTTTTAGAGAGTCTCAAAAAGTTTCAATTGAATACCCTTAAACTTTTTTAAATCCCAAAAAGTCATTAAAAGTCTCAATTGAATACACCCCCTTAAAACAAGCTTCACATCTTTGTCACAAATTGCAAAGTATTACAGAATAATAGGCTAACATTAGTCTCTAATTAGGCCTAATTACAGTAGCCTAATTAGTCTCTAATTAGCCTAATTTCAATAGCTAAATTAACGTAATTAACTAGAGAGATTAGCATACCTTAGATTGTACATGTATATATATCGTGATTTCCAATGAATAATACAACAGAAAAATTCCCAGTTCTCTGTTCAATTACATGGTATCAAAGCCAACAACATAATTGGTTTTATTTTCTCTGTCGGATTTGGGAAATTTGGAGTAGGCAGTTACCTCTCTCGGTGACTGCCAATCTTAGATCCCATTGGCATCTGTAATTGTCAGCCTTGTCTCGTGGAGTCTTCTCGCCGGCGAATTTTTTGTCAGCGAACTCAGGTTGTCGGCAATTTCAGGATACCCGTGGTAGGCAATCACCGATTCAGTTGAATCTTAGACTCAATTGACAAATCAAGACTTCGTCTTGTGGTCGCGCCTCGTGGGATTGGAAGTCTCTCGCAATTGTTGCCTGCGTCGTCGGCGAGTCGGAGCAGACAGAGAAGGCATCAATAGGCGTCGGCACCTCCTCAGGATTAAATTAGGGCCGTCGACGTGTATTCATCGTCGGATTCTTTGGTGTGGCCAGAAATCTTTGGGTTCCTTAGTGTGTTGAGCGTGGACCGTGCGCTGTGGTAAGCCTCGCGAGGTTGTTGGGTGGTGTGTTCGGTAGTCCAAGGCCAGAATTGACATCTTGTTGCCGTCAGCTTCATCTTGCTGTCGGTGTTTCTGTCGTTGGAGCAGTCTCTGATTTTCACACGGCGATTGTGGAATTCTGTGGATCATTTCTGGTGAGTTCATTACTTATATTCTATTGGGCTCTACACACGTGATCTATTTAATTGGGCCTTATTGGATATATTTATTTTAACTTTGGGCTGTTAGACTTGGTGGATTATTTTTGGACTTTTGTTTGGGTTGGATTAATTGAGTCTTTCAATCTGCCTATTATTGGATAATTGAACGATGACTGAGTTCGAGGGATCTGTGAGCGAGATCATTCCAGTGATGTCCAAAATCTATTTACAGATGATCACTTAACTAAAGATCCACCTAAAGATGATACCAAACAAAGTTGGTTGAGAGAAGATGCAAAACTCTTTTTACAAATCAGAAGTTCTATTGACAATGAGGTAATTGGTTTAATTAATCACTGCGAATTTGTAAAAGAGCTAATGGATTATCTGGAGTTTTTGTATTCTGGCAAAGGAAATGTGTCACGAATTTATAAAGTTTGTAAAGCTTTTTACCGTGCTGAAAAGGAAACCAAGTCCCTCACAATTTATTTCATGGACTTCAAAAGGACGTATGAAGAACTTAGTATGCTATTGCCATTTAGCACTGATGTCAAAGTTCAGCAAATTCAAAGGGAGCAAATGGCGGTTATGAGCTTCCTGGCTGGTCTTCCTCCTGAATTCAAGATGTCCAAATCTCAAATTCTCTCTAGCTCTGAAATTCCCTTTCTTCAAGACGTATTCAGTAGAGTTCTACGCATTGAAAATACATCACCTATTCAGCAAATAATGTTCTTGCTACCAAAGGAGGGGAAAATTACTATACAAGAAGGCCCAACAATAGGGGAAGAGGAAACAAGACTACTGATAACCGTAACAATGATTCAAGCAGCGTCGTGTGCTACTACTGTCATGAACCAGGCCACACCAAGCCATACTGTAGGAAATTGCAGAATCCAATCAAAGAACTCAGACCGCCAATATTGCTGCAACTCCTAGTTCATCTTTTGAGAAAACTGTTATGATATCAAGTGATGAGTATGCCAAATTCTCTCAGTATCAAGAATCACTGAAGGAATCCACTCTAATTACTGCCCTTGCTGAGTCGGGTAAAACATGGGTAAAACATGTCTTATCTCCTCTTCAAAGAAATGGGTAATTGATTCAGGGGCCACAGATCACATGATAGGTAATTCTAGTACCTTCTCTAGCTTTCGATCACACAAAGCTCCCTCTCATGTTACCATAGCTGATGGGTCAACCTATAACATTATGGGATCTGGACTGTTAAACCAACTTCCTCTATTACCTTGTCATTTGTTCTGAGTCTACCAAAACTTGCTTTAATTTGATCTC